CAATCTCACACGAGTGTGTTGAGCTTATGAATGCAATGACCAATCAGAGGCATTCAGATGAGTTTTTTGTTCACTACACGCACTGGCTGACTCATGTGAATTCTCTCATCATAAACAACAAAGTGCAGATGTACGTATGATGTAAGAGATTCATTCATAAAACCGTGTATAGACCGCTTTACTGATTATAAGGGTAGTTTTTTGAGAGTGACTGAAGTCAGTCATAATGTTTTTTGACAATGTAAATGTTCTTTGCTCGCATTCGCTGTATAATTTATTCGCTGTTTGATTAACTGTGGAAAGTACAGATAATTAAAAAAAAAAAAAAAAGGTAATAATTCATTACCTCATCCGGGAACATCCTCCTCCATCAAGCTTCCCCTTTGTTAGTGTTTTGAAAATGCGACCTCTAGTGGCGAAAACTTGCATATTAGTTATTACACCATAATTAGCCGACAATTTCAAAAACATTTTTACATGTTGTGCTTCATAAGCGTAGCATCAGGATTACTGATAGGTTGACTTTAACACAATGCTAACAATGCTGACTCAGGACAAGTACATACTTGGAAAGCAGGATGACACAGTTTTGGGCCCTCCGTCCATCAATAACAGACAGCTCTTTGACTTTGCGCGAGCTCACATAAAGGTCATCCATTGATCCTGTTTCTTTCTGCAGAAGAGGAGAAAACGGTTTGATGGTTTGGATTCAATTTTTTGGGGATTCAATCCAATTTTTCTAAACTGAATGAGTCAGTGAAAAAAGCATACAATATATTTCTAACTTTCTATATATCTCTCAAAAGGCCAGTATTCAGAACAGTGTGTCAGAAATAATCATGCAGCTGAAACACCACAGATGCTTGAAAGAAGCTCGGCTGTTTCAGCGAGAACAGTCATCTATTTATAGCTCCGGACCATTTCCTGTGCTGTGAATGCTCGATGAGGTTATACATGGGTCATGTAACTCCACATTGGTCCAAAGAAAGCACACTTCTTACACACCCCTGCAGCTCTTTCTGAGTAGTAACATGAAGAATGCGGGATAGGTTAAAGGTCATTACTTTCCAGAACATGCCTCATCTACATTTTAGTCATCTGTGTATTAATGTTCAATAATTAGACACATTTGTGATAATTACAGTAATTCAGCCAATTACTGTTCTATCACAGTAGTAACCGATTCTTAAAATTGCACACACCAATTATTCACTCCACAGGCATTTGAGAAGATAGATAATTCTACTACTGCAAGATGAGACTGGAAGTGAAAATTAGATCACTAAAATACTTAAAGGAACAGTTCCTTCAAAAATGAAAATTCCATTATCATTAAGCCCATGTTGTTCCAAACTTGCTTCCTTTCCATACATTGAAATTATACCGTGACCAGAGGCTGTCAAGGTTAATAAGGTATCACTATATCCTATTATGCCATAAATTAATATAAGCAAACACACTTTTATAGTGCTGTATCATTTTTGGATCTTGACAGTATCACACTCCATTCATTCTAATTGTATGGAAAGGAGCTGCATAACATTCTCTCTAAAATCTCATTTTGTTTTGTCAAAAACAGAAGTCACCTAGAGAACAACATATGGGTGAGAAAAATTCTGACAGAATTTCCAATTTTAGAATTAACTATTCCTTTAATATTTTAATTCCAACTTTTTCATCATCTGTCACATTAATTCAGATTTCCTTTGGTCACAGTGGCCAAGATAGCACAATAGACAGATACAAGATGGTGAATGTAGCTGTATGCTTGGCTAAAGGTTCTGGTACAGGGTCAGAAATTAACGGGGGCTTGGGGCAAAAATGCATCCAAATTTTACAAAAATTCCCCCCAAATTCAAGACAAGGGGGCAAAAATGGGAAAAAAAATGAATGAAACGTGTTGATTGCTGCATTACATTTAGATTTGCTCATGTTGCATCAATTTTCTTTTTATGCATTTATTGCAGCGTTGAATATTAATCACACATATTTCTGTTGAGCTAATGAATGTGAATCCAATCTGAGGCTGCTCACGCGAATCACGCGAATTCTCTCATCATAAACAACAAAGTGCAGATGTACGTATGATGTAAGAGATTAACCGTGTATAAAAAAAAAAGGTAATAATTCATTACCTCATCCGGGAACATCCTCCTCCATCAAGCTTCCCCTTTGTTAGTGTTTTGAAAATGCGACCTCTAGTGGCGAAAACTTGCATATTGTGCCTTTAAAGCACCCAATAATGATGAAACGTGGATGTTTTTCATGTCTAATTTAGCATATAAAGTGAATAAACTAGACTTCATAAGCTCACCTTTTTACATAAACAATGAGAAACCATAAAAGCGTTAAATTTGAAGTATTCGGTTCACACGCTCATATCAGCGGCTCATCAGTCTTCGGTCAGAGTCGAACTGTTCATTGACTGTTGTAGGAACTGGAGCTGAATCAGTTCATACATCACAGGATCAGATACGCCGCTATTTCTCTCTCTCTATATATATATATATATAATTTTTTCTTTATTTTTTTCTTTATGTATTTTTTTCTTCTTCTCTGTGTTCAACCAAGTCTCTGCCTTTCTCACACAGAACAAGCTCCTCGACAGCAACCAGTCTGGCTTCAGAAGTGGACATTCAACCAGGACTGCCTTGCTCTCAGTTGTTGAAGCCCTAAGACTGGCAAGAGCGAATTCCAAATCTTCTATACTTATCTTGCTGGATCTGTCTGCTGCTTTTGATACGGTGAACCACCAGATTTTCCTGTCAACCCTATTGGAAAATGGCATCTCAGGAACTGCACACCAGTGGTCTGAGTCTTACCTCTCAGATAGGTCCTTCAAGGTATCTTGGAGAGGTGAGGTGTCCTAGTCACAACATCTAGCTACTGGGGTGCCTCAGGGCTCAGTACTTGGACCACTTCTCTCCTCTGTCTACATGGCATCACTAGGTTCTGTCATTCAGAAACATGGCTTTTCATATCACTGCTATGCTGATGACACTCAACTCTACCTCTCATTCCATCCTGATGATCCGACGATAGCTGCTCGCATCTCAGC